TCACTGAATTCTAAATGTAGAAAGGGGGATCCCGAATAATCATTTTTCATGTCTTCAAAAAGGTCACCCTATGACATATTGATATGTATGCAGAAGATTGTCTGTTGCACTCTGGGCAACACAATTAAAAGTAAAAAACAAACAAACAAAAAAAACAACTAGGAAATTTCTCAGCATAAACACAGATATTTCTAAGATGGAGGATATCGGTTTGAATATGCATGCTTAGTGAAGCATCATTTTTGATGCGGCCCAAAACAGTGATCTGTACACAGTTTACACCTAATTTTGAATTATGCTTTAACTCCTAGTTATATATAATTCAACCGAGTAAAAGTAAAATCATTTAACTAAATCCATTCAAAGACCTAAAACTCTAATGATTCAAAAGTGCTAAAGTCTAATACTAAATATGGACTATAAAAAGCTTTGTGTATTTAGAAGCTATTCAGAAGAATCTGAATTTGAAGGCTTAGATTCAAATGTTGGTCAAGTTAATAAAACAAGAAGTACGTAAATTAGTGTTTCTCAAACTTAAGGTGCCTACAGATTATTTTGGGTTCTCTATGCAGTGCAGAATCTCATTCAGTAGGGCATGAGGGGGGGCTCAAGATTTTGCATTGCTAATAAGACTCCAGACCAGGATCTATTAGGTAAGATATTAGATGAAACATTGTGTAGTATCCTCCTCCTGTCTCCCAATGTAGATACTAAATCAAAGATAGTCCTTAAACTGGAATGCATTCTCTCCAAGTTCTATTATTTCCTTCCATCTCCGCTATCATCACAACCAAAGTCACCCTTACTGTATCTTTCTCCCATTACTGTAATAGCCTCCTTCATGTTGGTTTCTCTGCCTCTAGTTTTGCCACCTCTTATCCATTCTACTTATTAAAACACTAAAATAAATCCTTCAAAAACTCAAATCTGGTTATGATATTCCGCTGCTTAATTTTTTCAGTAAATAAGATACAAACTCCTCCAGGGCCTATGTAAACTGACCTCTAGCCACCAAGACACACATACACACTCAGTACACTAGTCTTGGTAGACTTCTTTCAAAGGCCATTCCCCTCAAGTCTTTGTTCATGCTCTTTTTTTCTTGAGTTGGAGTCTCACTCCATAGCCCAGGCTGCAGTGCAGAGGCACACTCCCGGCCACTGCAGCCTTGACCTGCTGGGCTCCGGTGATCCTTCCACCTCAGCCTTCCAAGTAGCCGGAACTACAGGTGTGTGCTACCACGCTCAGCTAAGTTTTTATTTATTGTAGAGGTAGGCTCTCACCAAGTTGTCCAGCTGGGTCTCGAATCCGCGGTCTGAGGCAATCCACTCGCCTCGGCCTCCCCAACAGCTGGGATTACAGGCTGAGCCACCAAGCCTGGCCTCACACTAGTTCTTTTCCTGAAACCATCATCCCTGGCTATGCCCCACTCATCCTTTAGGACTTAAGATTAACACCACCTCCCTCCACCCTCCCACAGTACTACACATTGCAATTGCTTATGTAACTGTCTTTCCTGCTCAGCTGTGAGTCAGTTCGGTGAGAACAGGAACCTGTCCAATTTGTTCCCTACCTACATCCAGAGCCTGGTACACTGACTGGCATCTACCAGACACTTCAATCAACTTTTATTCTAAACACATTCATTAACATATCACTGAAGTATTCACTTTCGAATAATCCTTTTCTAGAATTCATGATTACATCTTTCTTCTGTTAATACATTCCCTCCATACAAAGGATACCGTATAATTGAACAGACCCTAACTTAACTTGACTAAACATTACTTATCTGGAAATCTTTATTATAGTTTATTTGATATTCCTTCAGGCAACAATTAATACATACCATTTAGTATGTATTAAGTAAATAAATGCATAAACAAGTGCTAGACATTAGGAAAAATAAAAACTGGAAGACTGAAAACTAAACAAAAGACTAGCAAGAATTAAAGTCATATAAACGACAGCTATGAAGTAGGTATAAAAATCAAAAGTATAAACAGGGCAATAAAGCAGCAAAGAGTCAGACACACATAATCTGGCCTCAGTAGTTGAGATCAGTCATTCCAAGAAAGGTACTTGGTCTTTGAGGATAAGCAGAAATTTGCCAGATGGAAGGGAAAGTTATTTTAGGCCAAAGAAGAAAGTTATTTTAGGCACAAAACCACAACTTAAGAGAGACCTATGTATATAGACTCTATAAAATTATAAATGGCGCTAGGAAGGAAGACCAAACTTCAAAGACAAAGGTCTTTGCTGTCCAGTGTGAGACGTCTGGGCTCTGCAGCAACATGGCAAAATCAAAAGAACATTAAAAAAACACACTTTGGTAGTGGTGTAGATACACCTAAAGAGGGGAGATGCAAACAGGGAGACCAGAAAATAATCAAAGACAGCAGGAGAAAACCTTGAGGGCATGCAGTACGTGGGAAAGGAGACATGCATTGAATGGCGTGAAGAATGCAGGACAGGGCAGCACTAACCTTGAGGCTTAGGCTGGGGGCATTAGGAGAAGTAGTAGTTGAATGAGATTCCATGTAGGGTTTCTTGATAGTGAAGGGTGGCAAAATATGCCATCACAAAATACGCCACTCTGGCATACAGATTTAGAGTTATAGGCAGTTGAAAACCAGTAGATGCAAGCGGGACACTCTGCCCTCCTTGAAAAAAAGCATTCTTATCACCAGAGAAGGGAGAAAACTCCAATGTGACAAATATTAGAAATAAATATAAATCATGCCAAAATTAATATGAATTTTTAAAAATTTCCCCCTAAAAAGTAAATGTGCACATCCTGAGTCTTGCTCCTGCTGTCAGTGCTGCACTGACTTTCCAACTTTCTCTTCTATGTGAACAGCATAAGAAATCACCATTTTCACCAGAAACATTAAAGCTCCAGTGACACAACAATTAACACCGTAATTCTGTAGGTTAACTTTCAAGTTTCACACTTTCAAGTTTCACAACCACACTTCACCCTCTTCACATCCTTCAAAGGAAGGAGACAGACAGACAAGCCTGGGGATTGTTAAAGCAAAAATTAATGCTAGCACGCTATTTGAGCTAAAAAAGTGTTGTAGTTTGTAAAATTGGCAGGTTTTATTTTTCCTTTTAATGCTTCCCCAAGTGCAGATCAATCATATAAAGCTGTGAGTAACAAATGGTATAAAACACAGTTCCAAAGTCTTTAAGTTTTATTTTAAAAATATGTTACATGAAAACATCACATTAAAAATAGTAGAGGAAATCTAACAATAAAAATCATAGAACTACTTTTTCCAGTAGTATTTAGTTTTGCTTAGAATTTTCATATACTTGATGTTACTTGTCTTTAACCCTTTCTGACTAGTATTTTGCCTTATGCATTCTTTACAGTATTACTATATGATCTATCCAGACCTATACACAGAGCACAGCATAGCCAGGACAGCACAAGCTACTGACACCTTTGCTGGTAGTATCGTGTTTTTTCATCCAGCTTATGGGAAAATGGAGGGGATGGAGTTTGTGAAAACACTAGCTAATTCAGGGTTAATTATGCAGCTCCAGATAATCTCTTCAGAACTACCCTGTTCAACTTCTCAAGTTAATAAAAAAGGGCTGGTTTACCATTACATACCACTTTACCAAACTGCCTAAGAGAGAAAACTTTCAAAACACAATTTGGCAACCTCTTCGGTGACCTCACTGAAGTCAAATTTGCTATATTTTTGCAAAGATTATGTTGTCAAAATAGTATAGAGAGATTCTTTCCAAGTGTAAGTGTGTAATCAGGAGTTGATTTTATTAGTTCCTGTTAGATGCTTGTTAAATAAAAGTATAAAAGTTGTCAGACAAAAGCGTAAGAAAATTTAGACACTAAATACCACCTTATAACATATACACAAACTCTTTTGTTATATTCTCAATTTGCACGTATGTTTTGCAGATCATATGTAAACTAGGAGGCTAGAAATGTTCCAAATCATCTAATTGTGTGTAGATCTATACTACATACAGAAAAAAGAGAGGGAGAGTAGAAAAAAGATAAAGAGACTTACCTTTTCTGCTGTCTTCCACAAGAAAACTTCAAAAATGGTTCTTTTGAAAATTAAAATTGAACTTTTCAAAAGGGAAAATATGATCTTGTGTTTTATGAGAAATCATTTGGTTTAATAAAAGGTAAGATATTGGCATATGAACCACAAGGTGGAGCTGTAATTCCATGCTGGTACTGATATTTTAGAAGTTAATTGACAGTCGTTCTCTATTAATGTAATCTCTTGATTTTTATAAATGTACTTCTCTTGCAATTGAAAAAATAAAGTTAATAGGTCTCATTAATTCTAGAAATATTGACTGATACTCGACTTAATTCAAGTTGGACGCTTTTGTATATGAACATAAAAGTTCATAATTTTAAAGTCTAATGGGTAAACATTTATTGGAGTATTAAAAATGTTTTCTTAAACGTTACTTCTACTTAACTTAAAGTTCATGCATTATATTTGACAGAGAAATACTGAATTATATATATATAATATAAACAAATGAATAAATAAAATGTAATCAGATGAGTTCTATCATAAAAAAGAAAAAAAATACTTGTTTTCCTTCACAATAATGGAGCAAATTTTCTTAAGAATTACCCAGGATTTTACACTTCTATTTATAAAATTAAACAAAAAGACAATTTATATAACAATTTTTAAAATGAATTTCATTTTCCCTTAATTTAACTTCAACTAAGGCTTTTTTTCTCTCCAAAAACTTTATAACTTCCCATCATTTAAAAAAACCAACAAACAAAAAACTACCTCTCAGTGTATCTTCTAATGCTGGACAGCCACAATCTCTGCTGGTGCTGCTGATCTTAAAATGTGTTACAGAGCAAAGCACTAAAATGCCCAGCACATTTCTCACAGTGAGCCTCACACTGACCTCCAAACACACAGGGAGAATCTACCCTTCACTTCTCAGTGTTCACTGAAAAGGTATTGCCGCTTTTTGATTAAACATGAAATAGCTGTATTTTTGTTTTATTTAATTTTCAAGGAGCATTTTTAACTTTTCATGACAACTTATGCATCGGTACAGATGGCAAGATGGTGTATACGAGACCCTCCTGGGTACAATACGCAAGTCCCAGCTGGAATGTTTCCAACAGGATGTAAACCATAGTCCTCAAGCCTGTACTTTAAAAAACATATTACTTAGCACACTGCCAACAAATGTCAACACAGATATATAGTGTTGTAATGACTTCACTCTGTAAGAGAAATATACTGGAACATGAGTTTTTCCTAAGAAAAGCAGAACAGGGTAAAGCAGCATAATCATAGCTTTAAAATATTATTTATTCAATCATTAATGAAAAAATTTGCATACTAAATGGAATCCAAATTGTTAATAAAAATATCACAATATACTAAAATTGTATAAAGAATTCCTAAAATATACATCATGTACCAAAGTCCTAGAGAAGTTCATGTAGAAAATTCTACAATTAGTGATTTGGACATTTCAGTAACTCTGCAGTTTCTTCAAACCTGAAATATAATAAACAAATAATATATTAAGTAAATAAATAATTCACAATGAAGCATAGGATTTAGGCTGTTAAAATTATGCTTTCTGGCCTAAAATAAATTTGAATATTTTTCTTACTTATAAGTACAGTTACTATGAATAAACTTAAGTATACTATGGTTGGGAGGAGGAGACAGGGTCAATTATGAGTCTTATGTTCTTAGTTTATTTCAGTGCTTTTCAAATTTCAAAAGAATACCGTAATTTTTAAAGTAATAGACTGTATAAGAATTTCACGTACAATGTCATTTTATATTTCCTTTGACTTGTTCTTTTGAAAAACACATGTAATATCATTTGTACCATATAAGAATATTTTTAGTATTATGTTATCAATAATTTGCTAAAAAAGACTAGTAAAACTTGGGTCAGATGTAGTGGCTCATGCCTGTAATCTCAGCACTTTGGAAGGGAGGATTGCTTGAGCCCAGGAGTCTGAGACCAGCCTGGGAAACATAGCAAAACCCTGTCTCCACAAAAAAAATTTTAAAACTGAGCCAGGCATAGTGGGGCATGCCTATGGTCTGAGCTCTTCAGGAAGCTGAGTGGAAGGATTGCCTGAATCGAGGAGGTCAAGGCTTTGGTGAGCTATAATCAGGCCACTGCACTCCATCCTGGGCCACAGTGAGACCCAAACTCAAAAACAAACAAACAAAAGACTAGTAATACTTTACCCAAACTGAAAATGTCTCCAAACCATTTAGCTAAATATATCATTTAATATTCTGATAAATCAGTTATCAAAGACAGAGAGTACAACTGAAAACTACCAACCAAAAATCTCTCTGCACTTTTTAATCTGCAGTTAATTCCATTAACAATGTTTTATATCACTTGTTGGAAACCAAAACACTGACTCATCTCACAAACACATAACTGTAGGTAGATTTATTATCCACTAGAGTCCTGAAGGAAATTCCACACCTGACTGAGAGAACTTTAAGGCTTGAAACTCACATGCACATTCTATATTGACTGTAATCCAATACAACTCCCTACAGAGAAATGAATTTCTGTTGCCCTTTTCTGTTACTTACATTTTTTTCATCCTTTCCATTTTCTGGATTGTTGTTTCCTTTAATTTAAAAAGCAACAAATTTAGGCAATTTCTTAAAGTAAACCGTCATCAAAGCTGAACCATGAACATATAAAGCTGAAGGTAGTCTGAAACTGTATTAAGTACTGTTTACCTATCACAACCAGTTTTTGATAGATTAAGATTTACACAGTTTTTCTATTTTTCTTGCCAGTGGTATATACAACTAAAACTAACGCTTGCTTTATGTTCCTGACCTTAGAGAGGAAATCATCTAAGCAGCTGCCAGTTTTTCTTACCTCTGAAATTTCATTCAGACCACAGTAATTAATAGTTGAGTTTCTGGGAGTTGAATCTGATGATGCTGTACTGTAACCAGATGACAGAGGAATACTTACTGGCCTCTCTACTTTGATTTTTCTATCTGTGAAGAAATTAAGTTTCAGGTTACCTGTCCCTTTCACAGTAGAGTCAAGTATCTAAACATGTTATTTATAGATGCAAGAAAAAACCATATTACTTTAATTAAAAAATGGCTAGAGGTTTAGATCAAAGATGAGTTTTTAGCACTCTTTTAAGATAGCCTACATGTGGAAATCTAGATGTTAACAACTGGCTAACAAAAATTATAAAAGATAGTATTATCATGATAGCCATCAATTTGAATAAATAAGCAAGTTAATAATTTATTTTAAAATATAGCCTCCTGAATCACGTATATTCTTAAAATGTATATCATGTATAGTTTCTTAAAATGGTAGCATCTGTATTAAATAATGATTGTCAATGAGTTTGCCATGAGGCTTTTATTCAGTAATGTCTAAGTATTTCCATATTTTTTACTACTGCTCTGTGATAAATGGCAACCATTACTAAAACTGACTACATATACCTTTTAATTACCAAAAAACATTCTAAGTTTCTACAGATGAAAAGGAATAATCCTTAAAATTTAAGACTTTCAGCTGTCTTTTTCTAAAAGACTGAAAAATTTAACATTTCAGATATCCTCATATTATTAATTTGACAAATTATTAATTCCTACAACAAAATCAATTAGTGGACATTACAGATAAGAACACTCCCATTGAGTCACTCCAGTAAGTCCTATGTTTTAGTTAGAGTACATATGGCTGCAAAAACAAGGCAAAAAAAATCAGATATCCACTTACACTGGTTTTGTATAAGCCTGTACAGACAACCTCGACTAGGGAACACAGTATGACCACATGAGGACTGAGTCAAGCAAGAGATGAGCTTCCAATTCTCATGGAGTCACAGTCTCCTGTGCCCACTTTTCTCAGCATTTGCTCCAGTCCTCTACTTTTCTCTGCGGAACAGCTTTCTCTGCTGACTCACCACTTGGCCAGCCCAGCCCAAACTCTCTATCACTTGACTGGCTTACTCTTGGTGTTCTAATTCCAAGTTCTAAGACAGAGAATGTCATTTGGCTAAACACCCTTTGGACGGGCATTCCCTGAATCAGGTGTCTGCACTCGATCCAGTTAGTTGAACCTGGAGGTCAAAATCTCATGGTGCAACTCTGAAGACTACACAGACCCAGATCTTTTAGCAGCAACTGTGGACAACAGGCAATTTTAAGGAAAAATTCGAAACTAGACAGAACTATGACTACTAAGCCCTAAATCTTGGAGTATTTTCTGTGAGTAGAGATAGGCACCCTTTGAAGGTACTGAAGTCTTAAGTCATTCCAAGAAGAGGAAGGGTCCCAAAACGGAACAAGGACAGGAAAGAAAGACATACAGAAGGTAAAGGAAGGGCCTCTTTGGGAGCTTGACTTTGAAGTGTCTAGGCTTATCCAAGGGTGTGCCTTGTGGTGGGAGGAAGCTAATGAGTACCAGGCAGGCTGGGAGGCTATTCAGAGTTACCTCTATAAGGTATTCCAGAGATTATAGAGTAGAGCGTCACAGAACACCAGCTCTGTTATGTAAGACAAGTAGGCTGTCTTCTTAAGCAACCCTTGGCTTTGGGGTCTGTAGGTTAGTTTCTCTGTCCTAAGAGCTTTGCAATATCTAAACAATAGGGCGTGAGAATATTAAAATGACAAATACCAATGATGATTATTTTTCTGAAAACTGTTTATCACACCACCAATTCTAACAGCATTTAAGAACTTACCAGGATTCAGAAGATCCATGTCACTACTAGAAGTATAGTCTTCACTCATTTCATTGAACTCTACATATTCATCACTCTGAAATAATGCCGTCAGATATTTAGAATGAAAAGAAAAATGATCTCATTTTATCACCTTACTGCCAAGCATAAAATATAACAATGGCATGACAAATGTTTAACTCTTTTTAATTTCTTGATTTATAAAGCAGTATGCATACTGTATATTCCTGTGTATGAAAAATAATCTTTTAAATGTAGAAACAGAGAACAAGCTTCCTGAATCAACCAAAATTACTTTCTAGAAAGACTGCCCAGAAATTGAAATCCTGAGTGAAAGAAACAAATCTCTCAGGCTTGATAAGGCATTGACAAACTGGGTAACTATTTCTGTAAAATTTGCAATATGACTGAAGTAAATGAGTGAAAAAAAGACAGAAGTCATCATTTTAGTTTTTCCTCTACTGACTGTCCTTTTTCTTCACCCTGTGAAAACAGACCATTTGTACTAATAAATTATAAAAAAATAATTTCAAGCTTTTAATAAAAAAGTCAATTATATTCTTATCTTATTTTTAAATACATCAAGTATTATTAATAGCTCTAAGAGGTTAGCTTGCAGGTTTTTCAGATTACCTCATTTGATGAAGAGAGAAACAAAAGCCACAACAATGGAACAGGCTCTATTTAAACAGGACTTCATTCTAACTAAACATTTTCCCTTTACCTGAATATTCTTATATTTAGCATTTCCAAAAAAATACATAACAAATAAACACTTTGTTTCATCTGAGCTATTTTATAAATGTTAAGAAAAAAATACCTTTTTAGACAAAATCATTTCTGTTTCAAGCAGAGTGACACGACTTAGAAGATTAGTCCAGGTCTTTTCATCCACCATCACTTTTCCTTTCATTTTTTCTTCCAAAGAGTCTAATCTTTTCTCCATCCAAGTCAGTTTCTTAAGCTTTTCTTGGCACTCAGCAAGCATAGTCTGTAGTGCAGTAATCTCAGGATTAACGATTATATCCTAAAATGAGTAGAAAGATTAAAAATAAGACTACACAAACTGAAATTACTTTAAAAATCAGTGTATTCCTATTTCCACTGTGTTATTTCAATACAAGTAGGAGAGACAGCACAGCATGAGTGCACGTTCTGAGGGAAACTATGTGGACACACAGACTAGTTCATTCAAGATTCATCACCTTGATGCCTCCATTTCCTCATCTAAAATACAAAAAATACCCATTTCATACGGTTCTTGTGAAGAGTCAATAAATAAGTTAATTTGTATCATGCTCTTAAACAACACCAGATAGTAAAATAAAACTGCCATTAACTAGCTTCTTGGAACAACATCTAACACAAAGCTAAGAGGAAATGACTGAAAATGACACTTAATGCATTGAGACTACCTAGTTTGCCATAGGACAGGAAATAAGTCCAATGGGCATCTGGTAGTTTTTGTAAGCACCAGCTGTATACTGATATACTGAGATACACAGAAGTCAAGATACAGAAGAGGGACAGAAAAAGAAGTAGCAGAAACAGTGGAGATTAGACATCCAATGGGGTCTGCAGAAATTAAGAGTAACAGAAATGGTATTCTGAGAGAGACGGAAAAGAACAGTAAGGATCAGAAAGAATAACAAAAGGCAATGACGTGCCACCTTTTCCATTCAATACAAGAACCAATGGGTGAGAAACTCACTGTACAGAGTAGTATATCTCTCTCTCTTACTAGTCTGTACATTCCTTGAAGCCAAGTACCGTGTCTTTAAGTACCATGTCTTCATTACCCCTAACACTTAGCCCAGCACCCTAAACATAAGCAGCAAATAATATCTGTGAATTGTTTTCAGTAAAGAATTACTGATTGCTAAGTGATTGTAACGTAGGTAATATGTCATGATTAATCATTCAAAATGCTAGAAATATTTCAGAATTTTTATGCTGAAATAATAATGTACATCAAAGTCAGAAACACGGGCATGTGTTAAAGAAGTCCAAGGCTCTTACTTGTTGCTCAGCCATGATTTCAGGGACCCTGACCTCAGGAATCTTTACTTCAGTAGCCTTCAAGTCAGACACAGCTACCGCTTCATTGACATCTGTTACTATACTTAAAGCATCTTTCAGAGTGTCAGTACCATCTTCATTATACAAATGACGGATCACCACGGCTTTCTTCTACATAGAGAAAAATATGAAATACTTCAGTGTTTTCCTCCCACAATTATTTTAAACATACACACAGTAATTTTATAAAAGGAATACCCAATATTCCTTTAAAGATTTTAAAATGCGCTGGGCTCAGTGGCTCAGCCTGTAATCCCATGCCTTTGGGAGGCTGAGGTGAGTGGACTGCGTGAGTCCACAGGTTCGAGACCCGCCTGGGCAGCGAGACCTCATCTCTACAATAAATCAAAAAATCAGCCAGGCGTGGTAGCGCATGCCTGTAATTCTGGCTACTCGGAAGGCTGAGGCGGAAGGATTGCCGGCGCCCAGCAGGTCAAGGCTGCGGTGGCCGGGAGCGGCCACTGCACTCCAGTCTGGGCAACCGAGTGAGACTCCAACTCAAAAAAAAAAGATTTTAAAATGCTTAAGTTATCACATATAATGTATACATCAAAATGTTATAATTATTAGCATTACGAATCATTTGTGTGATGTTAAATTTGGATTATGCTTTTTGAAAGAATTCTTCTATTTTAGGAAGAATACTGAAATATTTATTAAATGATGAATGGGATTTGTTTCAAAATGTTTCAGTTTTATCAGGAGGAGATGGGGAATAGTGACAAAACAAGATTAGCAAAGAGTTGATAAAATTGTTGAAACTAGATGATGGGTACTTTTCTAAATGTTTAAAATGTTCCATAATAAAAAGTTATTTTTAAAAAATGTTGCCATATAGTTTACATATAAATCATCAAAAATTGGCTCTGTGAGTAGAACTTCATAATTTTTTTCTACTAAACAAACCATAATATATTAGACCTTCAGCTAACAATTCAAACTTAACAATATCAAAGGAATGTCCTGACCAAAAAAAGCATTAGGTCAAACTAAGCATTTATACAGGAATCCTCTGCCTACTTCCTATCCTACAAAAAGTCTGCACATATACAATAAAACATATAATAAAAATTTTTAAAAGGTACAAAAATACAAATATCTTTTTAACAGATTTTATTTATATAACTCAAGTGTTTTTTTTTGAGTCAGGGTCTCACTCTGTCACCCAAACTGGAGTGCAGTGGCACAGTCATGGTTCACCTTAGGCTCAAACTCCTAGACTTAAGTGATCCTTTAGTCTCAGCCTCTACAGGTACATGTGATCATGCCCAGATATTTTTTTTTTTTTTTTTTTTTTTGTTTTTGGTAGAGATAAGGTCTCACTGTATTGCCCAGGCTGGTCTCAAACTCCTGGGTTCGAGCAATCCTCCTACCTCAGTCTTCCAAAGTGCTGGGATTATAGGCGTGAGCCACTTGTGCTGGGCCAACTAATGTATTTTGGATTAGGGAGAAATAATTCTCTATGTTTTACTTTGGCCAGAGACTCCTCTCATCCTTATCTAATTATTCACTGTTAATTCATCTGGTATTCAATCCTTTAATCAGAAAGAGGTTTTCCCCAGATGGAAGACAACTGAAAGTATATTTATTATTATAAGACAATACTTTGGTTAAAATTTCCCTTGGAGATAGAAAAACTCTTCTCTAAATGCATTGGATTCAATTCATTTTGCCACAGTTGCTCAAAGCAGACAAAGGCAGACAAAATATCTAATAACAAAGACAAAAAAATTCAAAACATGAACCAAAAACCAGATTCCAGGTTAAGGGCTATCAATCACTGGACTGGTTACAGAAACACGAATGCATATAAATGAAGCCTTGTCATCTGTCATTCCTCCTAATGCAGGCTCCTCACATGTTCCTGTGGCTTAGGAAGCAGACATATAATTCAGAGTAAATGTGATGACTACAAAGTATAACCTTCCTAAATCACCACTGTTCTATTTGGGAAATCAGGAAGAATTAGAAATTAGAAATATAAAGATAAAGTTTGTTTAATCTTACATTTCTATCCTCTTATAGCTTTAGGAATAGTCACCAAATAACATATGGCATGCACTGTTAAAAATCTCTACACTCTAATTTCTAGCTAAAATGTTTCACCAAGGAGCAGTCAGATAAGTAAACCTTGTATATTGGATGAATTAGGTAGATGACTCTTGCATTATGTGGCATGTTTTCTTTGTCATTTCATACCTTTCCTGAAGTCATAAACCTGCCAGTGATGTCAATGCCAACAGCTTCTCCAGATATTTTCTCATTGCACAAAGATGGTTCTGACTTACCAGAACTGATTTTCTTTCTTTGTTGTGAAGGAGTCTAAAAAAAAGGAAAACAAACAAAAAAAGTATTAGCCAAAGTAACAAATTTTGTGTGACAGCATATTATATAATAAAATTCCATTGTCGTTTAAATTTTCATATATGAAGTGTAACTGACAAACAATGAGACTTTAATGAGACTATATGTCTTTTAAAGACTAAGAAGTGATGAAAACACATATGTTTGAACTGTTAGCTTAGGGCTAGCAGTTCCAAGTCTGTAAAACAAGTGACTAGTATTTATGCAAATATCAAGCTTAATAAGGCTACGCAAATCTGTGAATAATGTAGTAATTGTACGATGAAATAATTTGCTGTCTAGGGTATTGATTTTATATATTAAAATACTAAGCCACTTAGCATAACCTGGCATTAAAATCTATTTATAACATTACCTTCACAAGATTACTTAATTCTTTGTGCTTTTTCATCACACAGTTCAAAATATCACAAACGATTTGGATTTTCCATTCTGCAAACCCACATTGGATAAATTGCTTTTTCGTCAAAATTGGTTTGTAATTAAATTGATCACGAAGAAGCTGCAAAGAGGAAAAAGATTGATATAACAATTAGAAACAATTCCTTCCTAAAATCCAAAGTGACAAATAGTCACCATTTTAAGGACAAGGGGAGTAATAGACACTTTTAAGGGGACAAGTAGAATCAAGTCATTAACCAAAGAGTACTAACATAATTTTTTGGGCTGGCATGAGTGGTGACTAGGTAAAAGCAGTATCCAGGTAGAAAAGAGATAGATGGGGCTGTGACAGAGAAGAGACGGTTGTCCAAAGAGATGCAAAAATATAGTCAATCATCAAAAAGTTTATATATCCCCATAGCTACTAGGAAAACTCCTCAGCACACTGGAATACCACAATGGATGTCAGAAAGCTGAAGTCTTCTATTTGTTTGTAATTCTTCCACTATGTGATTTTTAGACAAGTCAGCAGGCCTTCTAGTTTCAATTTCTCATTTGTAAATGAAAGAAATAGACTAGACTAGTAGTTTCCAAAGGCTACTCTATGGAACTGTAGAATTTCTTAAAACTGCCTCTTAGGTTTCCATGGAGGTTTTCAGGGATTAGAAACAAGGAAGAGGAACATTAAACAGAGACTCTATATATAAAAGCTCCCATTTAATCAAATGCAATGCCACTTTGAAAAAAACTTGAGCTTTGGCCCACTCGCCTATCTTGGGGAGGCAACTCTCCATTCTTTCTTTCTCTCTCCCCCTAATTTACTTTCTAAATAAACTATGATTTCCAGTCTAAAAAAAAAAAAATGAATGAATTGGATTTAAATTAAAAACAAAGCTTAAAAAAAAAGCCACAGTAATCAAGATAAAAATTAATTATAAAACCAGAGTTTTAAGAAAAAGTCCAAATAAACACAATCAGAAATACAAAAGATCAAATCACAACTGACCCCGAAAAAATACAAAAGATTATCAGAGATTACTATGTACAACTATATGGAAGCAAACTTGATGACCTAAATGAAACAGAGGACTTTCTGACATCACACAACCTCCCGAGGTTGAAACAAGATGACATTGAGACACTAAATAGACTAATAACAACCCAGGAAATTGACTCTGTCATATGAAAACTACCTTGAAAACCCAAGAGAATCTGTCAAAAACCTCCTTGTACTGATAAAGGACTTTGGCAAAGTCTCAGGATACAAAATAAATGTGCAAAAGACAATTGCATTCTTAAACACCAATAACAAGCAGAGACCCAAATTAAAAGCACAATCCCATTCACAATAGCCACATAAAAATGAAATACCTTGGTATCTTCCTAACCAGAGAAGTGAAAGATCTTTACAATGAGAAGTACAAAACACTGCTCAAAGAAATCCAAGAAGACACAAACAAATGGAAAAATATTCCATGCTCATGGATAGGAAGAGTCAACATTGTTAAAATGTTCATCCTACCAAAGGCCATCTACAGATTCAACATAATATTCATTAAATTACCAAATTAATCAAAACAGCCTGGTATTGGTACAAGAACAGGCATACAGACCAACAGAACAAGATAGAGATATCCGGAAGCAAAGTATCAATTTCTCTACCAACACATCTCTGACAAAGCCTCCAACAACAACCACTGCGGAGAGGAGAACCTATTCAGTAAATGGTGCTGGGAAAACTGGCTGATCACATGCAGAAGATTGAACCAGGACCCCTACCTATCACCATACACAAAAATTAACTCTAAATGGATTAAAGACCTAAACATAAAACCTCAAACTATAAGAATCTTAGAAAACGCAGGAGACACCCTATAGAAACTGGAACTGGCAACCAATTCCTTATCAGAACCCTAAGTGTCCACACCATAAGAAATAAGATAGACAAGTGGGAACTCATCAAACTGATGAGCTTCTGCAAAGCAAAGAAGCTGTCAAAAGAGCAGGGAGACAGCCCACAGAATGGGAAAAAATATTTGCCAACTGTTTATCTGACAAAGGCCTAACATCTAGGATCTACAAGGAACTCAAACACGCTGGAAGGAAAAAAAACAATCAGTCCCATTAAAAAGTGGGCTAAAGACACGAATAGACACTTCTCAAAAGAAGATATACAGGCAGCCAACAGACACATTAAAAAGTGCTCAGCCTCACTCACCATCAGAGAAATACAAATCAAAGCCACACTGAGATACCACCTAAACCTGGTAAGAATGGGGTTATAAATGTAACCCCTGTAAGAAAGCAAAGCCCTCATTAATAAAGCAAACAACAACAGATGCTGGCTAGGATGTGGAGAAAAAGGAACACTTCTACACTGCTGGTGGGAATACAAACTTGTACAACCTCTCTGGAAAACAGTCTGGAGATTTCTGAAAGAACTAGAAATTGACCTTCCATATGACCCAGCAATTCCCCTATTGAGAATATACCTGGAGAAACTCAAATATTTCTACAAGAAAGATACCTGCACAAGTATGTTTGTTGCAGCTCTATTCACAATGGCAAAAACATGGAACCAACCCTGTTGCCCATTGAAGTTGGACTGTATAAAAAAAAAATATGGTACATATACACAATGGAATATTATGCAGCCATAAAGAAGGACAAGTATATGGACTTTGCAACAACCTGGATGGATTTGGAGCCAATCATACTCAGTGATTTATCACAGAAACAAAGAACTGAGTTCCATATGTTCTCACTCATAAGGTGACCTTGAACAATTATAATGCTATAAGAAAGCAATTGGCAGTAGTAGAAAACTGTCAGGGGAGGAGGGGTTGGGACTGGCAGTTGAGGGAAACTGCTAGGGGAGGGAGGTGCATACCTCATCAACAAGGGTACCTGCATGATCAGTGTTTATATACCCAATCCTTAATTGTACCCCACATCTTTATAATAAATAAATAAATTTTAAAAATAAATAAATAAATGTAATATATAATGTAATAAAACAAACAACAACAGATGCTGGCAAGGATGCAGAGAAAAAGGAACACTTCTACACTGCTGGTGGGAATGCAAACTAGTGCAACCTTTTGGAAGACAGTGTGGTGATTTCTGAAAGAACTAGAAATTGACATTCTATACCACCCAGCAATTCCCCTATAGGGAATATACCTGGAGGAACTCAAATCATTCTACAAAAAAGATACCTGCACACGTATGTTTGTAGTATCTCTATTTACAATAGCAAAAACATGGAACCAACTATGCTGCCAGTTGAAGCTGGACTGGATTTAAAAAATGTGGTATATATACACGACAGAATATTATGCAGCCATAAAGAAGGACAAACATATGGATTTTGCAGCAACTTGGATGGATTTAGAGGCAATTATACTTAGTGATCTATCACAGAAACAAAGAACAGATATGTTCTTTGTTCCTACTCATAAGTGGACCTTGAACATTTATCATAATACTATAAGAAAAGAATTGGTGGTATGGGAAACTGTGGGAGTGGAGGGTGGGGATTGGCAGTTGAGGGAAACTGCTAGGGGAGGGAGGGGCACACCTCATCAACAAGAGTACCTGCATAATCAACATTTATATACCTAATCCTGAATTATACCCCACAACTGCAAAATAAAAAAATTAAAAGCTAGGGTTTTTAAAAAAGTTAAATATGACCGAGCATGGTAGCTCACACCTGTAATTCCAGTACTTTGAGAGGTCAAAGGAGAATTGCTTGAGTCTAGGAATTCGGAACCAGTCTGGGCAACATAGTAAGATCTTGTCTCTACAAAAAAATTAAAAAATTCGCCAAGTGTGGTGGTGAACACCTATAATCTCAGCTACTTAGAAAACTGAGACAAAAGAATGCCTGAGTCCAGGATGGCACTGAGGATGCAGTGAGCTGTGATTGTGCCACTGCACTCCATCCTGGGCGACAGTGTGAGACCCTGGTTCATAAAGACAAAAAATTAAATAAGAGATTAAATCCAGTACACATATAGTACAAGTGTAGACACTAGTGTAGATACAATGTAAGACACGGTCTCATATCTCAAAGAACATATCATCCCAAAGCTTTAGATCCTTCTTACAACTACATAAACTCATAATTTTATAAACTACGATTTTTACTGAATATATTTCTAGCTTCTGCCAGTGCTCCAAATGTCACTAAATTTTTATATAAAAAGGGCAAATGGTAGCCAATGACAAATGTTTACCAACTGCTGTATTTATTAGAGTAGGAAACATTCACAAAGAAAACTTGAATTTCATCTTGACTTCAATAGAGACTACATTTAAATGTGTTTAATGGAAATGAAAATATTCTGTCAACTATATAGTACTGTATACATTTAAGAAGTTACTACTAAAATCATTTTATTTTGCTATTTGTTTATCTATTTTTTGAGTAGGGGTCTCACTCTGTCACCCAAACTAAAGGGCAAAGGCATGATCACAGCTTACCATGGTCATGACCTTCTGGGCTCAGGTGATCCTTAACTGGGACTACAGATATGTACCGCCACACCTGGCTAATTTTTTGCTTTTTTCTAGAGATGAGGTGCCGCTATGTTGCCCAGGCTGGTCTCAAACTCCTGGCACAAGCAATCCTCCCGTCTTGGCCTCCCAAAGTGCTGAAAATATAGGTGTGAGCCAACCTGCCTGGCCTAAGACATTGATTATAAAATAATTATCCAATAACTTCTAAAATAATTATTGTTTTATAAACCCAAAATACCTTATAGACAGCATCTATAAAGCGCAAGTCATTCTTTGCTATGAGTTCTACATTGGATTCCATTACAAGTTCTGTTACATACGGTGAATATGAGGTAAAAGAATAGCTGATGATGGGTAAAGATGCTGCTGTGTCTCCCTTTATCAAACTGTTAGGAAAAAAAGAAAAAGTCTCTTAATAAGCATAATCCCACAAAGTTGGATAATCAAGAAAATATGAGAAATGCTGGCAATAATTTATAACTTAATACTACAGCTACAATAATTATGATGCATGAGACCCTCCAGATTCCATCCCACCTTCTGAACTAGTCTAGCCAGACCACCATGAAATCCCCCATTCATCTGCTTGAAAACTGACTCCAGCTCTCTAGTGTCAACGGTCTCCTTATCCTAGTATTTACTGACTTTCCAAAGCTTAGTCTTACTCCATCTACTCCATTTTCTCCTACTAATAAAACAAATGCACCACATTGTAGTACTGAATATACTTTATGGTTTACAAACACTTGTTACATAACCTCATTTGCAATCTACCACAAACCTGCAAAGGTAAACATTATGAATACTAAGTTACAGATGAAGAACACAAGGCTAAAAAGACACGTACTGCCACTACTCTGAGCAGTTTTCTATTTTCCACTTACTGTTCATTCTAAACCTGTACTCTGGTAGCTTATGCTAATTCCTCTGATTTAGAAAGGGATCCAACTCATCTCTGCCTAACTACCTGTTATTTATTCTTTGTGAATCATCTGTCAAATCTCAAGTCTTCCATGAAGACATGCTAAACTTTGATCCGTACTGATCTCTCCAAGAATGAGCCCAAGGTTCTCAATCTATATCGCTCACACTTTGTCTTGCAGTGTCTTCTTATTTTCTCAATGTGAAGTACCTTCACTGATTCTCCCACGTTTAAATGGGATTTTAAATCTCAAGATGAAATTTTTCATTAGTTCATAATTAGAAAAAAACTCCTGTAATTCCCTGCTTCCTTAAACATTTTGATCACTTCAGGGCAAATTTAAGTAGGATTCAGATAAATTTGATGTAACTTTAGGTATTCTCCCCATGTCAAACATTATCTCAAAGCACTAGCAGAAAGAATGTAACAAGTGGAATGATATAGCTTACCCTGCACAATCCACCTCTTTAGGGTAATTTAGCAAGCGAAGCACTTGTTCTAGGTTCCGCAAGCTTCTTTTTAAGTCACCCGTTGCCATTTTTGACCCTAGATTCTGCTCCAACTCTTGAAATCATCTAATTTCTCACCTAAAAATAGAAATCCATGAAACACTGGTTAAGTCTGTGTATCTGTCAAAGCTCCTTTATTATACTGTGTTGATGTCTACTATTGGCACTTACCATATTAATCCTAACCTAGCTTTTGCCCTAACTTATTTTCCCTACTGGCCAAGTGCTACCTTGTATCTGCAATACATTCCTAAATATAAGGTGAGCTTCTCCTCCAGCGTCGAATATTTTTTCCAAACAACAACAAACAAAATAGCTTAGGCTGGGTTTTTTAAAATGCAGGATTTACCTGATTAAAAACGACAGATTAAGTACCGGTTACTTTCATTTCCACTTTCTAAAGACCACTAAAATAAAAGTAAAGAATTAAAAATACAAACACACCAGGACACAGAAAACTAGAGAGAGTTCTACATGACAAAAGAGGCATCACCAAATGTTGGAAAATGGAAAGTAGATGGCTGAGTGATAACCAAACAGACAAGCCAAGCTCCTTGATACAAAACAAACAAAGAAAAAATGGTGGAAATAGAGACAATGCAAGAAATAAGATAAACTTTCAAAAAAAAAAAATAATTTTCATTCTCAATGAGATTAGAAAAATCTTAAAACCCAAAATAAAAATAAGAAGCTATAAAAAGTAAAGAAAAGGCTTGTGTGAATTTAAAATGAGCCAGAGTGGACCAAAAAAAATTAGACCTAACTATATGTTGTCTAGAAGAAACCCACTTTGTCTATATGATTGATGTGAATGGATAGAAACAATATATACCGTGCTAACACTAAAAAAGAGAGAGTAGTTTTATCAATTTCAGACAGCAGACTTCATAATAAGGAAAGGTATAAAGGAATAAAGAGGGACATTACAAAGTGAAAAAAGAAGTTAATTCTCCAAGAAAACATACCAATTCCTAATGTGTATGTACCTAAGCAAAGAGCATCAAAGTACTTAAAACAAAAACTGAAAGAAATATACAAATCCACTATTTTATTTGGAGACTTCAACCCCCCTCTATTAGAAATGGATAGATCCAGCAGGCAGAAAAATTAGTAAAGACATACAACATCATCAATGAGGTGAAGAGAATGAATATCTATAAACTACTTCATCAAACAACAGCATAATATACATTCTACTCAATCTCACATGGAACATTATTTGGTCATAAAACAGATAATAACAGATTTAAAAGAGTAGAAACCACACAATGTCTGCTTTCAGACCACAAAAGAATTTAAATTTTATTGCATGAAATAGAGCTTTCATTAGATTCTCCAAGGAGAGTTTTTTTCCAAAGAAGGGTCATATAATAAATGAATAAATGGATAGATAAATGGTAAAGAATCTCTGCTAGAAGGAGATAAAAGGCTTCCAAACTGAAAATCAACCAATAAGGCAAAACTCAGTAACTTACTTAAAATATAGGCCAGGCAAAGTGGCTGAGAGCTGTAATCCCAGCACTTTGGGAGGCCAAGGCTGGAGGCCTGCTTGAACGCAGTAGTTCGACACCAGCCTGGGTAACATAGCAAGACCTCGTTTCTACAAAAATCCAAAAATAAGCTGGTCACAGTGGCGCATGTCTGTAGTCCCAGTTACTTGAAGGATGAGGCAGAAGGACCTCCTAAGCCCAGCAGGTCAATGCTGCGGTGGCAATGAACGTGCCATAGCATTCCAGTCTGGGTGACAGAGTGAGACCCCGACTAAAAACACATTGAAAAAATAAAAGAAAATGTCTATTGCAATTGTCCATAGACACTTCATAGAAGAAAAATAGTATATAATGCCTTGAATAATGAATGCTCTGAATGAAACTCCTTTAACAATCAAATCATTGACATTAAAAACAAAATAGAACAATTCACAAATCAAATCAAGTGGATGTAGTGTGATCCTTCCCCAGTTCACATTCCAGCAGCTGCCCAGGTTACAAATAATCTTTTCACACACCTTCGCTGTATCTATCCACTAGAGGTAATAAGGCTTGTAATTTGCAAAATCCTAAATTTAGTGAGCTTTCTACTTAAGCCCCTAGTCACCCATTTCTGTAGCCATTTCCTCAGGGTAGAGCAACTGCTCTCTCTTTGGGAATACCGTCCTTGCTGTTTTGGGTCTGCTCTCCTTTATCAACATGGTAAATAACAAGTTATTGAATATACCTTTATATCCTTGTACATGGGCATTTCAGTCATTGGTTTTCAGTCAAGCAATTACTTCAGCTAAACACATTTTTAGGCAGAGAGAATTTCAGGTATTGACAAATGGGAGATAATGAGAAAAAGAGAACGTGGTCTTCAAATCATATTATCCCAAGCGCTGGCCAAGAAGGTAAACACTGTTTAACATCTTTTAGGATGGCTAGGGGTAGAAGCACACATGAAAGCTGTAAGAGATAATTCCCAAGACAACCCTTTTCTCCCTTGGATAAGATGAAGTGGGAACTAATCTGGCTTATAACTACAAAAAAAATCTAGTTTTGGGTTTTGCCATTGGCCGGTATCTGAGATCTGAGATTGCTTAAGGTTCTAGAACCACCTATCTAAACACAATTCTAGGGATGCCTTCTTCCCATAAGGCATTCTCTAACTTTAATGTAGACGGCATCTCTTCCCACAGACTCCCTTATTCCTTCCAAATGTATACTCCATCTTCCCAGTACATCTCATTTTGCTTTATGTTACTTGATGGTGGCTTTCCACCTTTCCCTTTTCTGACGTTCTGGAACACATCTCAATGTCTCTTACATTATTTCTACCTTTGGTTAAGGAATTTTTGACAACAAAGTGTGTCCTGGAAAACCTCCTCTTCAGTACCAGAAGAATAAATATTTTGAAGAAGAGTAAGATGTAAGTACAGCTTGGATCTATAGGTTAAGGAGATAAGTGGTAAGACAGGACACACAAAATAAAGGAATAAGTGAGTAATATAGAAAAAATTACAGATACTGCTCTACATTTTCACGAATGGTATACTAAGTCTATGATGAACTTGAGAAGCACTAACATTAAGATATTAAAAGAAGCCAACCTACTACTTATGCATGTTTTAACACAATACTTTCAGAAATAAAAAAAAAAAAACTTACTTTAAAAAATAGAACATTTTAATTTAATTGATACGGAATTTTCACATTCCTTTTCAAAAAAATTAAAAGGAGCTACCACTCAGCTTGTAGTGCAATCATTAAGACAGTCTCAATATGGCTTCCTCACCTCTTCCTCAATTCTGTCTACAATTCAGATGCGCCCAACTGAACTTGTGGCAGAGGCCCTGAAAAAGGTCCACTCTAGCAGTTTAACATCTTTTTTTTTTAAGTTGGAGTCTCACTCAGTCGACTAGGCTGAAATGCAGTGACTCGCTCACGGCCACCCCAGCCTCAACCTGCTGGGCTCAGGCGAACCTTCCTCCTTAGCCTCCCGAGTAGCTGGGACTGCAGGCGTGCACCACCACACTCGACTAATTGTTTTTATTATTATTATTGTAGAGACGCGGTCTCGCCCTGTTGCCCAGGCTGGTCTCGAACCCATGGTGCTCAGGCAACCCTCTCGCCTCCGCCTCCCAAAGTGCTGGGATTCCGGGCGTGAGCCACCATGCCAGGCTCAGTCGAACATTTTTAACATCGCTCCAATCTCCTCGCTGCTAGAGGCCATGGAAACGATGCCGGCCAATACGCCGCTGGACTCAAAGTGATGTCTGTTCAGAATGAAGCAACTGCAGACTCCGCATATGAGGTGGCTAAGAGTGTGTAACACGCCACACGCTCAAGACCATCTAAAAGCCGTGCACCGAAAATACCGAGTCAAGATGGGGCAAAGTCAAGTCTAGGAAACTTCTCACCCCAGCGAGGAGGGAAACATTCCTCTAAGAGATAAGAAGAAAGGCTGGGGGGAGAGGAGGGGACAAGTACCCAGCTCAGGGGAGCTGCTGCGTTCAAACATACAAGCCTGAGAAGGTGAATGGGCCGTCCTGCAAACACAATCTGGACAGCCATAATTCCAGAGTTAAAAAGAAAAAAGAAAAAGAAAAAGAATGAAAATCTCAAGGCGGATGTCCTAGAGCGAAGAGGCCCTCTGGAGCCCTCAAGAAGGCGGAGACGTATTTGAAAGACCTGGGCAGTGCGAGGAAAGCACGAACCGCTGGCATCTCGTCCTTGGGGTCGGTCTCTCCGAGGAGCCGGCAGGGATCCTCGCCGAGGAGGTTCAGCAGGAACCCGCCCGTGTTCGTCCCTTCTCCGCCGAAGTCACAAGCCAGTTCCGACAGGGCGAGAGGCCACGATCCTCCCCGCTTCGCCGACCCCGAAAGCCCGCAGGGGCCGGGGCCCACGAGCCAGGCCCAGCGAGGGGCTCCCTCCCGCCACCTGACGTCCAAGGATGACAGGGCGGACCCGCCCTGGGTCCCCGCCCGGGTCTCGGCGAGGGCGGCGGGGCCAGGCGACCTCTGCCCCGTCTCTAGGGCTCACCCAGCAGCGGCTCGCAGAGAAGCCGGTTCCGGAGAGCTCCGGCCCAGCACGGCAGGGACGAGAGGAGGAGGAGCACATGCGACCAGGGGCGGCCCCTGGAGCGCCGAGTCCCCACAGCCCGGCTCCCGCGCTGGGGCGCGCCTCTCGCGCCGACCGTTTGTGTTCGGAACGGCGGGCTCCGGCCCGCCACGCACCGCGGCGGGACCTTCCAGGCGGCGGACTTCTCCGCGGTCCGGGTTTCCTCGCCGCAGATTCCACACGGCGCTCAGCAACACCCCTGAGGAGAGAGACCGCCACAGAGGCTCCTCCAGGGCCAGTCCACGCCTCGCGTGCATATTGGAATATGCGGTCATTTTGAGGGTCAGAGTGTCTCGGGCTACGAAGTGAGAAGGTAGGACTCTATGGCGAATCGTGAAGAGCGGGGATAAGAATAATTCCTCGTTGAGCGGCAGGGCCCTGACGCCACTTCCGGCAACAATAGGAAACGTCAAAAACTCGGACAGTCGGCGGTTCTGGCTCTCGCGGCTCGAGGCGCTCTGCGCTCGGAGTCTGGCGCTGCGTCTGGCACTGTCACCGCCGTCACCTCCCCCGGCGCGAAGAAGTCAAGTTTTGAGCCGGCGTCTTCATGGCCGGGGCCCCGGTTCCCGGCTGAGCCCTTTTCTTTTTGGCGGAGAGCCCCCGCCCGGAGGCCGATTCGTCGCGGCGGCGGTCGCCCAGGTACAGGCGTCAGCCTAGCTGTTTCGGGTCTCTCGTCTCTTCTCCCCGCGCACCTTCGCTTTGCTTCTCGGAAAGAAAGACGATCGGTGCTTGCCAGTTGGGCTCCACGGGCCGACCAGCACGAGTTTGGGACCAATGGCAGTGGAAAGCACCTTGAGCGACAGCGGTGGTGGCTTATTGGCGTGAGGAATCGGTGCGAAGAGGCGGGAATGGGTGTGTGGCTTCTGTTTCTAGGCCCTGGGGGTGTAAGTCGGTTCGGGACCCCAGACTCCTTCCGCAATAAAGCCGAGAATTGGCCAGGGCTCCTTCCTGCCGACCCAGGGGTTGCTTTCCCGGTTGCGTGTTATTCTGGTTCCCAGGCCCGGTTTGGGGTTCTTTGCCTCCTTTAGCGTCGCCATGGATTAGTAACCGCAGTCACACGTGGATTATTACAGTTTGATACATTTGGCAGACCCGATTTGTTTTCTCTTATTCGTTTCTCGGTGACGAGGATGTAGTCTCTTACCTCGTGGTTGCTCCGGGATCCTTCTCCTCTGATATTTGATTTGATTTGCATCGTTTGTAGAGACAGGATCTCACTGTGTTGCCCAGGTTAGTTTCTAACTCCTGGCCTCAAGTGAACCTCCCATCTCAGGAGTGAGCTACCGGGCCCAGGTTTATTTTTAGGTTCTGTCTGTATTTACTATTTTAATAATGTATCCTCCTTGTTTTTACAAGTAAAATTTTTATTCTCAGGGATCCTAACTGTTGCTTCCCAGATCGGTATATTACGACTTTTATCGCTGCAAAATTAAGATAATTTATGTTTTTCGTTTGTTTTCCTCTCCCTTCTTTTAAGGTTTGGTGTTTGGTAATTATATCTCTGAGATAAGAGCTCTCCCCACCTCCAACTGCACCACCCACAAAAATAGTTTACAAAATAGAACAAGTCTCAGAATGAAGAGTGAAAAAATATTATGTTTTTCAGGTTGAATCACAAACTTTGATTTTTATCCAATTAACCTGAGAATTTGTCTGATGAGGTATTTCATTAGTAATCTGTTGCTAAGTAACAAATTACTCCAAAATTTACCTCAGTTTAAAACAACCACAAACATCTCGGGTTCTGTTGGTAAAGAATTAGGGTGCAGCTTAACCAAGTACCACTGGTTCTGGTTTTTTCATGAGGTTGCAGTCAGGCTGTAGTTGGGGGCTGTGATCTCATCTGAAGGCTCCATGAAGATTTAGGAGGATCTATGTTGGCAGGCCTAGGTTCTCCGCCTCATTGTTTCTTCATAGGACTCCCTCAACATTAGGCAGCTGGCTTCCCCTAGGATGAATGATTCAAGAGAGAGCATCCAGATCAGAAGCTACAGTCTTTTACAAGAATCTAATCTCAAAAGTGACATCCCATCACTTCTGCCATATTGTATCTGTTAGAAGTGAGTCATTAAGGCAACCTAAAATCAAGAGGGGATTACACAGGGCATGAATCAAAAGGCAGTGATCCCTAGGGGCTGTCTTAGAAGCTGCCTAAGATGAAAACTTTTAGGAGGTAATAGATATGCATAACTGGGCAAAAACATGTCCAAGAGAAATAGAGTCAGAGAAGGAAAAATAACAGGTTGCAAAGAAACAAACTTATCCTAGCATTGTCTCTCTTGGAAAAAGTTTACTGTGTGTTTGTTTTTCTACTATATGAAGAAAGGCTTATTTCTTTTGGGGGTGGGGAAGGGACTTTGCCTGAGGGATAATGTATGTTTTCAGAGTCTATCTGAGCAAAGCATATCACAACTGGCCACCATACTACTGTGTAGAAAACATAATTTGTCTCACTTTGCAGGGATCAAGTCATGATACTCCTATAGTGATTTGGGGACAAACACGTAGGACCCATACTTAGTGCCATTTTATGTGGTTGAAATTGAAGCAAAGATGACTTTTAAGGAAGAAAGAAGTTATGAAGGGGCTAGAGATAAGTTTAGATAGAGTGCAGGTCAGTGGCAGCCTTCATGCTGGTGTGACTACATAATTCTAGGAGAGGATTTGTCTTAGAATAGAATGTGTCTCTTTTAAGCACTATTAAGTGGCAGGCCACCTTCTTTCTACATTACCTGGAAGTATGTCACCAGCACAGCTTTGGTCAGTAAACCATGTAAGTTTATTGGAAATAAAGGGTGCAGACTTCAAAGTCTGTTGTGATACTGTTTTGACTACGACCCAATGTAAAATTGCCTATGTTTCTTCCAGGATTGAAAGATGTTACAAATCTTTGTATTATTGAATAAATACCATTCAAGTTTATCTCTTATACCTCAGATACTTAACACCAGCTTGAATATGGTCATCATCTACTTATAAATTTGTCTTTTAAATCATGGCTTTCTATCAGGTTAACATACTTTATTTATAGTAGGTTATAGCCAATTAATTAATAGAATTTTGGACCCTTCAATGTTTGCATAGTTTTAAACAGATGCTTGAGAAAATAATACAGTTGAAATATTTCCATCCACAAAATATCTTATGGAATAACTTCTAGATAAACCAAAATGTTCATCAGAATTCATCATATAGATACCAGTTTGATGGGGAACGTTTTGGGTGTATACTGTGCTTTTGCTAGGTTAAAAGATATTTTCTTCATTTCGTAATAGAAAAATATTGAATTACAAAGACATTTATCTTTTCCTTGATCACAATGCATTGAGTTAGTCATTCATATTTATAATTTTGTAGTTCATTGTTTAACACACAGCTAATGTAACTATCTAAATTTTTTCCTACTACATTCAAATTTGGAAACTGAGATTATGTCATTGCTGACCCATGATAATCATCAAAATTATTAATGCTGAAGTTTAAGAAATATACATCTAACTCATGTTACTTTTTCATTGAGTTGTTTTACTTAAGTAATATTTTAAACAATTTTAATGAAATGCATGTATTTCTGAACATTTATATTTTCTGTGTGTTTTTCTCATTGTTTTGTGTTGCTGTTGTGGTTGTGATTGTGGTTGGTTTTTTTTGGTTTTTTTTTTTTTTTTTTGAGTTGGAGTCTCACTCTGTCGCCCAGACCAGAGTGCAGTGGCCACTCCCGGCCACCGCAGCCTCGACCTGCTGGGCTCTGGCGATCCTTCCGCCTCAGCCTTCCAAGTAGCTGGAATTACAGGCATGTGCTACCACCCACGGCTGATTTTTTTGATTTATTGAAGAGATGAGGTCTCGCTGCCCAGGTGGGTCTCGAACCCACGGGCTCAGGCAATCCACTCACCTCAACCTCCCAAAGGTGCGGGATTACAGGCTGAGCCACCGCCCAGCTGATTGTTGTTGTTTTTGACAAGTTTCTTGACATAGATTCTACAATAAGCTAAAATATTTTGGCTGACTTGAGAAAGTCCATATCATATTTGGAGCAATTACTTTATAGTGATTTTAAAAAAGATATCTGTGGTTTCAAGTTTAGACTTTAGGGCATCAGATTCTGTGATGAACAGTTTGTGTATTCTAAAAGAATAGATTGCATAGGATTCCATAAGTTATTTGAATGAAAGAACCAGATTTAGCAAGTAAGCCAAGCTTAGAGAGACCCTGTGAGATTTGCTCACATGGAGTAGTGATTTGCAGAAGTCATGAACATGGGGGGGAAAAGATGGCAAGGACAGATGCCACACACACACACACACACACACACACACACACACACACATAATCATACACAATCTCCATCACCTCTTCATTTTTTGTATTTATTTTTAGTGTCCTCCCCATTTTATTTTTATGGAATCATATAATTGTTTTTTCAATGTTTTAATTGCGGTAAAATACACATAGCATACAATTTACCTTCCTAACCATTTTAAGCACACAGTTCAGTGGTGTTAACTGCATTCATAATATGCCACCATCACTGCTATCCATTTCCATGGCCCTTTTTATCTTGCAAAACTGAAACTCTATACCCGTTAAATAATTCCTTCTCACCTTGGTTCCCTGGCAATTACTGTTGTACTTTGTGTATCTGATTTTGAATACTCTAAGTACCTTGTATAAGTGAGATCATCCAGGATTTGTCATTTGGCGACTGGCGTATTTTACTTTTCACAATATCCTCAGGGTTCCCCCGTGTTGTGACATATGTCAGAGTTTTCTTTCATTTAAGGCTGCATAACATTCCATTGTATATATATACTACATTTTGCTTATCCACTCATTTCCTGATGACACTCCTGTTGCTTCCACATTTTAGCCGTTGTGAACAATGCTGCTGTGGACATGGGTATACAACCTCTCTTCCAGACCCTACTTCCAATTCTTTGGGGTATATACCCAGAGGCAGAGTTAGTGGATCACATGGTAGTTCTATTTTTAATTTAATTATTTGTTTATTTATTTTTTTGAGTCAGGGTCTCTGTCACCCAGGGTGGAGTGCAGTGGCATAATCAGGGCTCACCACAGCTCGACCTTCCAGGCTCCGATGATCATCCCACCTCAACTTCCCAAGTAGCTGTGACTACAGGCATGCTCCACCATGCTCAGTTAATTTTTTTGGTTTTTTCTTATAGAACGGAGGTCTAGCTGTGTTGCCCAAGCTGGTCTCGAATTTCTGGGCTCAAGTGATCCTCCCACCTCAGCCTCCCAGCATGTTGGGATTACAGGTGTGAGCCACCATGCCTGGCCTTCTATTTTTAATGTTTTGAAGAAGCTCCAACCAGTTGTCACAGCAGTTGTACCATACTGTATTCCCATCAACACTGCTCGAGAGTTTCAGCCTCCACATCCTTACCAACATTATGAGTTTCTGAATTTTGATAGTAGCTGTCTTAATGGGTATATCATTGTAGTTTTAATTTGCATTTCTCTAAGATTAGTGATGTTGAGTGTATTTTCTTGTGTTTATTGTGCATTTGTACATTTTCTTTGGAGAAATGTTTATTCAAGTCCTTTGCCCATTTTTTGAATCAGGTTTTTTGTTGTTGTTTTTAAGAGTTTTCTGTGTATTCTGGATATTAATCTCT